TTTGACGTGGGGGGTTCAATGAAAGGTCATTTGCTTGAATTTAATTTAATTTCTAGGAATTTTTTCACATGGGAAAACGAATATGAAAAGTAATGTCATTAATTTCATTAATAAATTTAGTAAATTTAAATTGACAGCAAAATTAGGTGAGAAAAAGAAAGTGTCCGTGACAGAAATTTCTTTTTATTTTTACTCCTACTTTCATGTTGTAAACTGTACAACATAAGAGGAAATATTGTAAAAAGTAGTATGCTGTAATCGACATTAGAAACTAAATACAACACTTTAAAAAAAAATACTATGAACAAGAAATATACACTGCCCAAAGTCCTAACACGTAGTCGTTCAAATCTGACACCCTTCACTGTCGAAAGCAGCGGTCAATAACATTTGTATATGATTCTTACACTTTTGGCACGTGTTATTGGAAACTCATAACACTGCTTTCTGACTATTCTGGCGATACCATTTTCATGCAGCGTGCAAATATTTCCTCGATAGACTCTGTTGAGTGAGGACAAGAGGAGACTAAATGTCTCTGTGATGCTCTTAGAAAACGAACCAAATTTCTTGCAAATTGATCGCCTAGCACCAAATTTCTTGCTTGGGATGCTGTTAGAAAACGAACGCATGAGAAGGAAACATAATAGGAGAATTATCAAATCAAACGTGCTAGAAAGGTCAAGCCACCCCAACGAGTACGTCCCAAACTGGACTACGTAATCTTGGACTGTGGTAGAACAGAAAATTCAAAATTATCCATCCAGTCGTAAGGTCTAAATGTCTTCTTTTTGTAAGTTAACAAACAAGAGGAGTGATGGCAATTGTCTGTAGTATTTTAGTACTTTCTTGAACAAAAATAGACTAGCGTTGAATGTTCAACGGATTGTTTTACGACAGTATCCATACGTTCAAAATCAGGAAAAAACCCTAAAATATTAAGATTTTTTTATGAAAAAAAAACATAATTTTTAATTTACTAATTGAATTATGTTGTAATTTTATAAGTGCTTTCTATGAGCTCAATTTTGTATGTGATTGGCAGGCCAACTACAACCAAGATTGAGATCATGGCTGAATTTGATTCAAAAGATGTTGTTTCAAGGTTTTTTTTTATTTTATATTTTTAATTATCAAGTGCATTAATTTTTTAAATTTTAATGGTGTGGTACATGTTACTTTTTAAAAATATTTTTTATTTAAAATACATCAAAATAATTTTTTAATTTTTTCTATTAGTATTTTAAAATTTTAAAAATAATATTTTTAAAAAATAATTTAATATTTTCTTAAGCGAAAACATAATTTTAAAACATACTAAATACAAATATAAAAACAAAAACAAAAATAAATTTGAGCATTCCACATGGAACTAAAAAACATCGGACTTGGCAGACAAGTGTCCAGTCAAAAGTTCTTCATTTTGTATAAAAAAACAATTGAAGAGACGTGATAGCGGTTGTCTTCACATAGAAAAGTCTTAAATGGCAAGCTGTCTGTACTTCTTTTATTAACGATTAAACTAAACGCCGTGGTTTTTTTACTGTGGATGGAGATACAATTCACCGTGGAAAGTTTTACTAGCAATATTGATGGGTTAATAACACCTTTCCTTTGCCTATTGCAAGCAAAAACAAATGGCAACCTCAACCTATGAGGAAGACTATCATCTCCAGTATGCTATGCAACTTTCAAGTGCATCAGTGCTGCCTCTGGTTTTGAAAGCAGCAATAGAGCTAGGTGTGTTTGAGATAATAGAAAAGGCCGGTCCTGATCCCTTGCTCTCAGCTTCAGATATTGTCGCTCAATTTCCCACACAAAACAACCCGGAAGCCCATATTCTGCTAGACCATAACCTCTGCCTGCTCGCAAGAGGTTATATGGATTAGCACCTGTGGCCAAATACTTGACCAAGAACCAGGATGGAGGATCGTTGAGTCCCTTTTTAGCTATGATTCGTGACAAGGTTATGATGGATATGTGGTAAGAGACTTCATAAGTATTGCTTTTTTCATATATTATATTTTTGTTGCCGAATTGTTTGTTGCTATAGTTAGTTTGTGATTTTTCTTCTTCTTTTGCTATGAAATAGAAACAGGTACCACTTAAAAGACGCAGTTCTGGAAGGAGGGATTCCATTTGAAAAGGCTCACGGGATAAATTCTGCAGAATATCTAAAAAAGGATGCAAGATTTTGTGAGCTATTCGGCAGTTCCATGAAAAGTTTCAACGTTTCATTTATGGAGACAATTCTGGACATATATGATGGATTTGAAGGTGTAAAATGCTTTGTGGATGTGGTTGTTCGCTATTATAGAATGCGCTTATATAAGAAATACTGTATAGAAAATATTGTAGACATACTCCTATGTAGTAACCTCCATCATTGCCGCCAACTTCTCTCTCTCCACCATTGGTGCAGCACAACCGGCCAGCCATCCCCAAGTTACTGTTAGTGGTGCCTTCTCCCCCACAACAGCCTCCACTTGCAAAGCTTGTCTCTAATTCTTCCTCCTAAGTCCTTGTCGTTCCTTTGCCTCTCATGGAACACACACTCCAACTATTGTTCCTTTAGCGAACACCCACCAAGTCATTTCGTTGAAACTTATGAACACAAATTATCTCTATTGGAGAATACAGATAAAGTCATTTCTTCTTGGTCAAGGTGTTTTTCACTTCGTTGACGGTTCAGTGACATGTCCTCCATCTCATATTTTTGACAATTCTGTTGATTCTTCCCCTACCATCAACCTTTCTTTTCTTCATTGAAAGCAATAGGATAAACTAATTTTGAGTGCTTTACTCTCCTCTCTCTTAGTGGATGTGTTACATCTCGTGGTAGATTGTTCTACCTCACATTTTGTTTGGTACACTCTTGAGAAAGTGTTTGCCTCTCCATCTAATTCTAGCATCTTGCAACTCTATGGCTCCTTTCAAGACCTACAGCAAGGTGACTTATCGGTTACTATATACATGCATCAAGCTAAATCGCTATTTGATAAACTTGTTGCTACTGGTCGCCCCATGTCTCTTGAAGACTTTAATCTTTATATGTTTTGTGACCTTTGTGGCAAGTTCAAAGACCTGGTAATAAAATTGTATGTACTTCTAGACATTCTCTTAATCAGTGTCAAACGTGTCCTTTAGGCAAGTCATCCCGTTTGTCATTATGACTTACGAGTCACAAAACTTCTGCCCCATTTGATGTAATTTTTAGTGATGTTTAGGGTCCTGCTCCTATGTTTTTTTCTAATGACTTCCACTATTTTATTATTTTTGTTGATGTGCATACCAAACATATATGGTATTATCCACTCGTTGTGAAATCTGATGTGTTTTCCACTTTTCAATGTTTTCAAACAATTATTGAGCATCGGTTTTTACTTGAAATTAAATCTGTTCAAACTATATCGTAGATTAAATAAATTTTTTCAGACCATTAGTATTCATCATCGATTAATTTGTTCTCATACTCATGAACAAAATGGCACTATTGAACGTCATCATCAACATATTGTTAAAACTGGCCTAACCCATTTAGGCCAGTGTAGTGCACCATTGCAATTTTGGAACTATGTTTTTAAATCATTGGTATAACTTATTAATCGCATTCTTACTCTTGTTCTCCAAAATAGATCTCTGTTTAAGTGTTTGTTTTGTCGTACTCCTAATTATGACTTCCTATGTACTTTTAGGTGTCTTTGTTTTCCCTTTTTGCGTCCATATTAAATTAGATTTTTTTATCTTCTCCTTGTGTGTTTTTAGGCTATAGCTTATCCCATCTTGGTTATTGTTGTCTTGATTTAGAATCTCATCGTATTTATATCTCACATCATGTTCTTTTTCATGAAAATATCTTTCCTTTTGTGAAATCTGAACAGGTAACATCCTCACCAGTACCTCCCACACAACTTTCCATCCTTGCACCTTCCTCCATGTTTTTAGCCTCCTTCTCACCAAACTAGCCCCTCTACTAACCCCATTCTGCCCTCTGCCGCACCCCACCAGACCACCCCTTTACCCATAGCTTCTGTCATTCCTTCCTACCCATCTCATACTGTCGTACTGTCACCATATGATTGTCTTTCCAATGATCATTATGCAGGAATAGGTTCTCCATAATTGGATGAGCATGTTCTTCTGTCTACTGTAACAGAGCAGCCTAGTTCTGCTGCAAAACACCCTAGTTCTGTCGTAGCCTTACCAGTTTCTACAGTACTGACCAGTCCATCCACTGCTTCTCTAGGTGGTGCGCTACTATGTATAAACCTCTCTTCATATCCTCTTCAGCATCTTCCAAGTACATGTCACACTTCTCCATGTCCAACAGCTAGTCAACGTCACATGGTCCTCTATCCAAGACAACCCAAGACAGCATTGTCCATCGCTGCTACCACAACCTCTGCTGCCCTTTTTAGCTGGGTAGTTTCTTCTCCCTCTCATGAGCCACTTGTTTTTAATGATGATAACAGATATGAGGCATGGCATAGTGCTATGTGTGGGAAAATTCAGGCCTTACGTGCAAATAGAACTTGGACCTTAGTGCCGTTTCACCCCTCCATGAATGTTATTGGTCGTTGAAAGGTATAAAACGTGTCTGGTTGCTAAAGGTTCCACTCAACAAGAAGGTATTGATTACTCTGAAACTTTTAGTCCTATCATCAAATAGGTGACCATCATATTTGTCTTCTCCATTGCCTTTGTGTGTGGTTGGAAAATTCATCAGCTTGATATCCATAAGGCCTTCCTTAACAGTGTTCTTGACAAGAAGATCTACATGAATAGTGAAGAGGCCCATTGTTTGCACAGGCTGGGATGAGCCCAACCCCTACAGTTGGGCCAAGTTCGGCCCAACCCATGTATTTGGGCCGGGTTTGGCCCATTTCAAAAAAATTATAAAGTATTTTTTAAATATTTTTAATTTCTCCACTTTTTATTTATGCCTTTTTTGGTTAATATCAATCTGTATTTTACACCAAAAAATACAAATCTAGTATTAAAAATATCTAATTTTCATCAAAACTGTCAAAAATACAAAAAAATCAAAAAAAGACAAAAAAATATTTTTGTGCATACGGCCAAGTGTCTCAAAACTAAAAAATCATATTATGTATTTCTTAAACAAAAAATAATAATATTTTAGTATGCATTTTGACTTTATTAATTAGTTTATTAAAGTTAAGAAAGCATTGGCTAAAATTTCAAAAACAACAAAAATTTTATTTTGTTTTGTTTTAATATCAAGGATTACAAATTTATACGTAAAATGTATTTCAGTTATTAAAAAGATATTTTTCTTATGACATAGAATAGTTAGCTTTTTACCTGATAAGATAAGGATCTCCTTATAAAGGGAGACTTTTCTTAAACCATAGACAGACCAACAAATTTTAGACACCACAACCAAACCTTAGAATTGATCAGACAAAACAATGCAACTTACCTTAGGTAGTGCGTAGTTGGGGTGCTAATACCTTCCCTTTACACGACTAGTCTCCATACCCAATCTCTAAAACCAGTTAGGGTTCCTAATGACCAAAGCACTAGATAGCAACTCCCAGTCCATATTTTATTGATTAGAAATACTTTATTGAGAAGAGACAAGAATTCATTGTCTCTTTATATTTTTCCAGAGATAGACTATACACATTCCATTTTTCCTTGAGGGTGGATGATTGTCGCAATGCCGCACATGTGCGACACACCCTATAACCCTTGTCACAACTTTTATATCCCATAAAAGCTCCCTTTCTAGCCTTGTCATCAAATTTCTGCCTTAAGGATGATGGGACATGAGTGTAACAAATGCAATAAAAAAATTTCAAATGTTTGATTCCTAGCTTTCTACCTATGAATGCTTCAAATGGTGTTTTGCTTGACATAAATGTTGTAAAAGATTTATTTTGCAGATATATAATTGTACTTACAACTTCTACCCAAAAAATCACTGAAATTCCTTTCTTTGTCATCATAGATCTTGCCATCTCATAGAGTGTTTTATTTCTTCTTTTAGAAACTCCATTTTGCTGAGGAGAGTAGGCAATGGTTAGTTGCCTCTCCATTCCCATACTTGCACAAAAATCTTGATATTCAAGTGAGGTATGTTCACCACCTTTATCTCTCCTTAGCCTTTTCAAACTGAATCCACTTTGCAATTCAACAAAAGCTTTGAATTTCTTTTCTAATCAAATGTAGAAAATTTATTAATCAATGAAACAAAGTTGAAAAACCAGCAAGTCATAAAATATTTACAAATATTTACAGAGTAAGGAACAGGTTCCTTTAAGCATGGGGGAGAAACTCCTATATAGGCTACAAATAGCCTAAAACAAGGAAAAATTGAGAGCAAAAAGACAACTTGACTGCAGCAAAGCCAGCCAAAAACACCCTAGCAACCACAAGATGAATCCGGCAAAAAATGAGACCAAAACTCGGCCACCAAGAAGTCTAACAGTTGTAGAAAGCACCCGTAAGCAACTAAAAATGATGGCAAAGCACTAGCATAGACATGCATAGCCATACCAACAACAAAGCATAGCTGAGACCAAGGCTCAGCCACCAAGGACAATAGCAAACAATAATTGAGACTAAGTCTCAGCCATGAAGGAGACCACCAGCAAAGCAGCAACAAGCACAAAATAGGCATGCCTAAAAAAGAACCAATCAGTAAAGCTGCACAAAGTCAAGCTACCCAACCAGCTTAACAAACTAGCAGAACTTACAGCAAAGTTGTGTCAAGAAAACTAGCAGCCCAACCTGCGACAAAGAGGAACTCATAAAGAATCCACCCTAGAGGCAAGTAGGAAATCTGCACAAGGAAAATAACAAAACTATCTAGTCTACAAAAAAATGTAGCAAACAACTCAATACAATCCAATAGGAAAACAAGGGATCAACCTCCCTATCAAAATACATAATGCAAATCAAAATTCAAGGGCAGATGATGGAGTAGTGTCATCAGAACGGCTCAGTGACTGTGGAGCTACATCAAGGGCCTTGGACTTTTTCTTCCCCTGTAGACCCAAACAAGTGGTGGTAGCTACTATGTTTCTAGTTAAATACTGCCTCTTTGGAGGGACTACAGCAACAGCGTCACCTTCGTCAGAAAATCATGGAGTAACAGGGTGCTTGGAGTGAGGGTGCTTGGAGCTCAAGTGCTTGGGTTTAGCAAATTTGGTCCTTTTACGACCAGGGGACTGAGGCCTCAGTTCACCAGCCGTGACAACTGTCATAACCAAATTTTAGGTTATTCCAAAAAAATTAATATTTTTTATATAATAGAAAAAATAATAATAAAGGTTGGCAACGTGGAGAAAGCAAAACGAGGAATAAAGCTGTAATTTTGGAGGAAATTCAAGGCCTAATTGTACCTCATTATGCACAAAAATGGATAAAAATGTAAATTCAAGGTTAAATTAAATGATTATTGGATGAATTTGCATAAAAATTAAGTCTAAGTACATAATTAAATTTTTAATAGGCCAATTTGATTTAATCGTGGGCCAAATTAAATTTTAATTATGTTTAAGAATTAATCTGGGTCTAATAGAAGGATTTAATTAAGTGGAATGACTTAATTATACATTAAATGGGTCAAATTAATTGTATTTGAGGTTTAATTGGTGAAAAATTAAGTTTGAGAGCCTAATTTGGGCTTAATTAAGGATATTAGAATTTTAAGAAACCAAATTTAATTTTTACCAATTTAATTGATTGAAATTAAGGGCCAAATTGCAAGAAAATTAAAGTTTTGGGGTTAATTAAGGGTTAAGTTAACAAAATTCAAAACTAATGACTAATATGCAAAAGGCACCAAACTATAGGGGCTTAATTGACAAAAAAACCAGGGGTGAAATTGAAGAAATTGAAAGCTTAATGGTCAATTAGGGGTTAAATTGCATAAATTCGAGACCAAGGACCACATTGTAAAAGGTGCGTAAATATGGTTTTGAAGTTAAAGTTTAGCAAGGACTTAATTGCATCAAATCAAAAGTTTAGGGTCAATTACAGATTCTATTGAAAACAATTGAAAGGTAAAGGACTAGATTGAACTTCGACCAAATCCCTAAATCAATCCTAAACGATGTCTAGTTACTATTCATTGTCTTCCC